CTTCACAAATTTCTACTTTGCAAAGATGCAGGATTTGTAGGCGTCTCACCTGCGAGCATTCGCAAGGCCGTTTATCAATCCGTTCAATAACAAATGTAGCAAAACTAAAGTTAATTTGAATTAATGGAAAAACCTATTGGCTGATTCTGTTAGATGAACTGTGAATCCTTTAAGAAAAATGCACTATTTCCATCTGAATAATTGCATATAATGTAAAAATTAATTAGGCAAAAACTGAACGAAATTATTGTGAAAAATCATTTAATCTACTTCGATCAGATGAAATATTTGTTCAAGCTGTGTTCATCTCCAAATTTCATATTAGTGTGAGCAAGACTTTATTAAGCATTTAAAGAAATGACTATTATAAATAATAATACTTATAATAGATATTCAATTGTTAACTTGCGATTATCATATAATGAAAAATAATTATCTGTTTTATTTAGAAGTTGCCTCTTGTTGATCTTGATGACCAGCTATTAGATATATTGGTGTGTGTTATATTAGAAACACACTTTGTTGGGAAACGGTTTATTTTAACGAGAGCCTTAGGGCAATATTTAGAAACCAGAGCCTTTATACTTTTACGTAAAAGTATATGCCAGAGCCCCTATATGTGACAGCCTTGACTAAATTTGGAATAGTTAACGAATAAAACTTTTTGATTAAAAATCGTCTAGAAGGCTTTCCTGTTAAGAAGCAATTTGGGGGATATAAGAACCCTTTTATTGAGCTCTAATGAATAAACAATTTAATTCCAAACAGGAATAAAATACGTGGATAAATTCGCACTAAGCTCCGGAGTAAAAGATTAAGACAAACGGCAAAGAAATGGTGATTATATCACACAATAGCGTTATAAAAGTGGCAGACACTTAGACACTAAGAACACCTTATACTTAACGCCGAGTGTTTCTTTAAAAACTTCTAACATAACCATCGTACACACAGCGTCTAGTGAGCAAATTTATTATTTTATAAACCGGCCTAGGCTTAACCACAGCAACTCCTATATACAGAATGCAATTGCCCCCCCAGAAACAAAAAACAGTTGAATAGTGAAGTAAGCCTACTTTATAAGGTTCTCCCTTCGTTGAAGATTCAGGTGAGGAAATTTGGAAGGGAGTGGAACTAACAATAACCCAATAAAAGCAATTAATAACAACTAAATTTATAGAACCCGTAGAAAAAAAAAAGGAATTGTTTAAAATGTTCAACATGCGCATATGTTGTTTGCATTTTAATATTACACCTTGTTTTCCTTGTAAGCAAAATAAATGATTTACCATTAAGCAAATACCAGACGTAAATATAAAAAAACATTGCAGACTTATAATTGAACAACAAAAACGTGTTATTATTTTGTTTATTGTAAACCTTAATTATTTATCACATTAAAAGCGGTTGCAAAAATCATACGAACTGACTCATAGGATCTTCAAAGCGCTTCCTCTTCATGTAGTAAGCCTCCATTTCTTCCTCCGTGGGCTCTTTCACTTCAAACATGCTGTTATAAGGTCGCTTTCTCTCATCTAACGCAAGGATTTCTTCGGCTTTCTTCTTGTTCTCCTCCTCTGCTTGGAGCGCCTCTGCCAAAGCACTTTTTTCACTTTTCTTGCTTTTCTCCCTCTTCTTGTCCTTGGACTTCTTGGATTTGACTTTGGGCTCACTTTCACTGGATGAATCTTTGTTTTCCAAATGAATTGTTTCGGGAATTGGAGAATCCCGATTTTCAACTTTCTCTGCCAATAGCTCGGTAGTGGGATGCACTTGCTCGATGTCGATTCCGGTCTCGGATAAGCAATACGAGTTCATGATGAAGGAATGGCAGCATTTGTATCCCCATCGGCCACCCTTCCAGTAGGAACCCCATACACTCGTGTGATTATTGATGGAAACATCCTCTGCATACTTTGAGTTAATCTCCGACTTTTCCTGGCCCTTCACAATTTTTCCTGATCGCGAATATTCCACATAGGTTTCAGTTTGCGCCATTAGTAGAGATTTAGGGGGTACCTGCAGATGCTCTTCTCCCCCATATCGTTCCAGTACTTTTGACTGAACTTGGCCTTTGAACTGTTCCTTCTTGCTTTCGTATTCTTTTTTCAAAAGCTCCAGTTTGGTTGGCTCAGCTAACAGATGAACATCTACGCCTTTTTCATAGGCCTCCCAGGCAAACAGTTGGGCTTTGGCATGGGTTTTTGTGTCCCCAGTAAATCTCACAAAGTTTTCACCTTCATATGTATCATCTTTTGCAGGGTTTGGGTTCTCCCTCATGGATCTGGTCTTGGGATCATAATAGGCAGAGTTGGGGTCCAAGTTGTGTAAATATTTGGCGGTGTCTTCCCGAATTCGCAAATTTCTCACTGTAATTCGCTGCTTGCTATCCACTTTGGTTCCAGGCATGTCCACTTCATCCACGTATTTGTCTTCATCCTTTTGGTCATCGTCCGAGCTGGCAGCATCAAGTTTGTCAGCTTTTAATTGCTGTTTAGCTTGTTCAACTTGCTGGAACTCATCAATAACGCATTTATACTCAGTTGGATTATAGCCGCTCCATCTGTCTCGTTTTCCATCGAAACTCAGGGCGAGATTTTTCTGGTTAAATTCGTCTGGTAAAATGTTAGTCATAGAATATTTCGCACCCACTTTCCGAGGGCGATCCATGCAATCCTTCTTCTTATGGGTCATGGCCCCACAATTTTCACAGGCCCCCTTTCGGAACTTGGTTACGATCTTTGATCTATCAGTGCCTCTTTGATACCAATCATCCAAATCAGAATATTGCTTCTGATGTTCTTCTTGTGGCCGTTGATGCTTTAGAGTAGGGCCACTAGTTCCATAATACCAAGGGGCGTTTGAGATGTATTGGGGAATGTGAGGGTTGATATCTTTGCCATCTTCATCTACAGCTGCGGGGGCAGTTCCAGCTTTTCGGGCTTCCTCCAACTCCTTGGCTTTTCTCCAATCTTCTCTTGATTTTTTCTTGGGTTCATCGTCGTCCAAGTAACTTTTATCCCGCAGGATTTGGGACACAGGTAAACTTTGACCAGTTGAAACCATTTTCACTGAACGTGCACTGAACAATTAAAACAATGCCCAAACGTAGTACGAACGAAATATAGGTTAAATGTAATTAAACAATGTCTGTCAAATGTCAAACGACTGCGTCAACGGAGCGCTCTCTCACACAATTTATTCAAGTGTAGTAGGTGATCAGTTATACAATAACGTGTGTAGGTGCACGTGTTTAAGATTAGTTGGTCTACTCAGTCATAATACATACATTACACTAATCTTATAAAAATTAACATATTTAATGAATAATTTTTAAGAATAGTTGTGACCTAATGCTGATATATAAACACTTAATAGGTACAAAACTATATTTTCATTATCAATATCTGCCCGAAACTAAAATTACATGTTTTTAAATGCTGCCATACAGAAAAATTGGAAATCCGAAATACTCCTCACTAATTTCACTTCAGAAGAACATTTTTTTTAAGTTTTCCTATTTGACTATTGCTAAAATCAATTTTGAACAATGAAAAAAAATTGTCCTAATATTGTTCAGATAAGCCCTATTTTGACCAATCTCAGCACGAACTAAAAAAAATGTAGTGCAGAAGTTATAATCCCAGTACGCATAACGGATAATTTTGTTTTTCTTTTAATTTATCTATAACGCATCAAGTTCTAAGCTTAAACCGAGATAAGTGTACTCGAATTGTCCAAGGCTTAAACATTTTTTTTTCAGCTTATATGACGAACTTGTATGATCAATTAGTAAATAGTATGCCTATTCACTAATGGTGTTTGAAAAATATTTATTTGTAACAAAGTGAACATTGTTCTCTATAATCATTTTACATCTTTAATTGAACACCTCTCCCATAATGGACAATCGTTGTAGAAATTTTTGCGCTTTGCACCCCAGAAGCTCAAAGTTCCTCTCCCATGACTCATTCTTCGGATATTTATTTTCTCCCCGAAGTCTCTCTAACATTTGCTGGGCATCAAATGAGTTTGTCGGTGGATCAGAAACGGTGACTTCCGCCTCTCCTAAGCTGGATTCGTTCTGGGCGACAGAAAGTGGTAAAGAAACACTTGTAACATTTTCAGAGGGTGCAACAATTTCCACTTTTTCGTTCTGGAGCTTATTGGGCATTTTCTTTTTTAGTAACTGTATTCCCCGGTACATGGCTTGGTTGTTGTCAAACTCTTTAAAATCGACCAACACATCGTTCGGTGTGTTGTAGCAGCAATGAAGAGCGCTGGGATCGATTGGATGCGCTTCAGTGTTAAATATGTAACCACCTGCATTTATCACACATTCGCCGTTTGGAGTGTTAATTAAAGTACCATGCTGTCCTTGGTTATGGATAAAATTGTCCGTATCGAAGAGCAGATACAGATACTTTGTGGTTTCTGAGAGGAAAAACGATTCCATGCGGTCTTCAGTTCGGTGGTCTCTCACGTCTTTAATCTTAAAAATATATAATAAAACCAAATATATGTTATGAAGTAAAGTTATTTCAACAGAACATTAGCACGTAACAGTTACTACTTTAGACCAAAATTGAATAAACTTCTGGATGTTTGACAGGGTTGAACTGATAAAAACCGAACGGGCCCCACAGACTTCGGGATTTTTGCACAATTTTTCGCTTTTTTATTCGCTTCAAAAGTGTGTGAATGTCCGCTTCAGTTATTTCTGTGGTTCTTGTTTTAATGTATTTAATTATTTTCACTAAACCGTTTTTATAGAACTTCTGGAAAATCAAATCCTCTTAGTACCACGACCGGGAAATAAATAAATGATTGTTAAAACCTAATAAAATAATATCCTTTGGGATAAATCAAGGCAAAAGTGAGTATCAGACTATGAAGGCTTTCACGGCCGGTCAGATTACATTTAGGAATGTTTTCCGGGCTTTGAAGCCGTGGTCTATCGAAATTTCTTCCTGGAAGAAAGGAAGAAATTCCGATAGACCACGGCTTCAAAGCCCGGAAAACATTCCTAAATGTAAAAGTGAGTATTTTTTAAATTCCTAGAGAAAATTAATTAAGCATTGAATGTAAATTTTTATATTTCCTGGGTCCCAGTCAAAGTGTGAAGTAAAAATTTTGAACATCTCTTTGCCTTCTTGAAACCTTAAATTTGTCTGCAAATTTAAGGCAAGGCAAGTACACACAGTCAGGAAAATAAATCAGAATAATTGAATGTAAAGAAAGATGATCAGGTTCTGTTCTTTTTTTAAATTTTTACAGCAACTTCCGCCGTTACCGGTAAGAGTTCCTTTTGGCTTGGAATCTATGTAGAATCGCACATGTAGATTTTTTGTCGAAAAATTTGAAAACCGCATGGTATTAACTGTTCGTTAAACTATTGTACTACTAGTAGAGAACCTTCTATCGATCTATCAATTAGGAGCGTTGATTGGCAAAATCATTATCTTTTCATTCAATAATCTGTATAATGTTTTAAATATGTATATTTGCTTACCGTGGCATAGCCACAGGGTGTTTTAGCACTATGTTTGATGCTCCTTAAAATGTCCTCGCCAGCTTCCAATAAAAATGGATCTCCCGTCGCTCTGTAGAGGTACATGATCGACTCTATTAATTCAGGCCTCAACGGGTAGCTTTCCTTGCCTGCTCCAGCCTCATTTTGCGTAATGTAGTAAAATTCTGGTGTGAATCCATATTGCTGCCACACCTGATGATAGTTGTGCAGCGTTTTCATAGCGTTTGATGTTTCACCTACATAATTGTTTCAGTTCGGTCTATTATAAAATTATTTTTTATTTGTAATCAATTGGACGAATGATTATCAAAGCCTAAATTAAATTATTTTTTAAAAGGTGCTTTAAATATCGACAAATCCAAACATAAGTCTTCACATTTTTTAAATAATACACGTTGCAGTTAACAATATCAGCTAATAAAGCCTTCAATTAACATCAACCGCATTTCTTTTTTCTCTACTATAGAAAAATTTTCTTTGGTTTAAAAAAAAAGAATTTAATCTACTTCGATCAGATAATAGATTTGTTTAAGCTGTGTTTATGTCCGAATTTCATATTAGTCAGAACAAGACTATTAATTTATAAGCATTTAAAGAAATTATTATTATACATGATAAGCCTTGCTTCATATCTACAGATAATCAATTGTATAACGTTCGAGACTGAACTTAAAGGATAACTTAAAACATGCATATGTATGTTCAGAGAAACCATGCCTTGTACATACTCCTAACGGATCACTTACCAATCAGACTTAATAATCCAGGCCAAAATGCTTCAAGGGATTGAAACACTGGTAGGGTAATTTGGGCCTTAGTCATAGAGACCCACATGTACCAATCGTCTTTTTTTAAATGTTTGTCAATCGATTTTCTAGCTTCACGAAACATTTCCATCAATTCAGGCCTAACAGCAAATGACTCAATAATGTGATGATATTAGTTATTCGATTAGCTTTCAAACCCTTTCTGTACCTTTGCAGTAATATCGATCCTTTAACTAAATACTCAAAATACGAATCGACTCCGGAACCAATTCCCGCATCTTGAGCTGTCCATTTTCCAGTGTTCGTATCGATGTGGTTCCCAAACAAACCAATTGGAGATTTATGGTTGAAAAGGGAATATAAAGCGTTCATTGCTACCTAAAATAAGCCTCGTAATTTATAACAAAATAACCTTTTCTGAACATCAAAGGTTTGCGAATATACGCAAGCAAAATATGAATATTGTATGTACAGAAGTTTTAATAATTATTTTTGAAATTTTGATGACCCGTACTGAAGATAACAGAGAAGTCCTAATTCGTGAAGGCCAATAGAGCATAATTCGCAATTAATACTATCGTGTACTTTTTTCACCTCTTCATATAATGGATCTCCAGTCAATCTGCTTAAGGTACCAAACTCCACAATAAAGGTACCAATTCCAGCAGTGCAAGTGATTGGAGTTTCACCTTTGGGTACGCCATATCGGAGATTTACGGTTCCGTAAGGCATTCCAGTTTTTGTGTCAAAGGCCGCAATTAATCGCTTGGCTACGTCTTCGGCAAGTCGAAGAAGCGGGCCGTTACAAGGAAATCCAGGCTCTACTTTTGCACCTGCTCTACAAACTAAAAGGGTGCTGAATATCTGTACCGTAGAAAGACAAAAAAGTGGAAAAAGTACAAATTATCTACGATATTTTCATATAATTTATTTGTTAATTTTTTTAGGGTGCAAACGATGATCGTTCATATAATTATTAAATTTGTCACGTTATTACGGTAGTTGCACCTTATTCCGCATAGTCAAATTGAGTATGAATTGCACGAGAATTAAAATATGTTAATTAGGAAATTAGTTGACATTTGAACAAAAGTACGTATGTCCTTACTTGTTGGACAATAAATGTGCACTTAACAATCCACCGATTATTCTGATGTTGGTTTCAAATACCGAAACGTTGATATTGGCATCAAAATCAGTTTTTGTCGACAAGATGTCCACGACTCTTTGAAACTCTGAATAATTTCCCATAATTGCTAGTGTGTCTAGCGCATCTATTAGCGTCAAGGAATAACTGCAATAGAAAATATAAAAAACTTATAATTAAACATATTCATATTGCTTTTCCTAGTAATAAAGTTTTATATACAAAAACAAAATCGGTAAAAAGTAGAAAAGGCTTTGAAACTGTGCAATATCGATATAAGCAAATTATTCTGGAAAATATAAGTTATAAAACACATTTTCTGATATGATATATTTTGTTAAAAGTGCCAAGAAATCGTCAAAGGCTTTAATTTAAATGGTTATAGTTTTTTTTCGACATCAAAAGCTTTGCTTAGTGCATTTCTGTTATATTATACTTTCTCATTTCAAAACGGTTAGTCATACAAAAATTGAAACTAAAAGTTTCTAAATAAACCCAATTGTATTCATTTGTTGTTATCTAAATCGTTCTGGAGGATTTGCAAAAGTTTTATTAAGAAGACTGAAAAGAACGATTTAGAAATTTTTAAATCGCAAAAAGAGATTTGGTGAGTTGAGAAAAATTGTTAATGACGGCAACACTATCACAAAACTTTATTATTCCCTCCGTTTTCGTTTCGAAGATCAAAATAAAACCTTCCGTTTCTGATAATTTTCAACCAAATGTTGCTTATTTGCTTAACAAAAGGAATAACTGTTTCCCCTTTATGGAAAACCAGTGATTTTCAATAAGTGAAAAGTGGAAAAAACCGGGTTTTTGCAATAAACACTAATAAAAAAAATTGTCGGTACAAAGATTTTCTTTCAAGTAGTGAGAAGAGCAAATTTTTAACAGCGCACGCGAGGGCCTGCTTTATTTAATGACTAGCAAAAGTTGTTTACGCAGGCATAATCTACAAAAAAGCTTAATTTTATGCCGTAATAATGTTGTTCCAATCTTCTTTGCATAAATATGAAATAAAAAGTGCAAAATGTTACCTTCCATAAGTGTCTATACCATCGCAACTCATTGGCCTTAGTTCATCATATGGATAAGCATATTTCAAATAACTATCATAAGCATGATAAAACATTTCCTTGACTTCATCTCTGCAAAATTTTAATGACAAAACCACAAAATGAATATGATTTAAATATAAAACATACTTTTACCTTAGTTTATTCAGGTCATTTTTCGTGTACGTTCGTGAGGCAAAGACATTTCGAATGGATAATACAATGAGAATACATAAAGCTAAACAAGGGTGTTTCATATTCAATATATTTATTGTTAAAGCCTTTTTATACGGTTTTGTACATGTTATTTTTCTTTTCAACACGGATGTAAAAATGCAGGTTATGTTTCTATTTTGAGTATTTTGACTTTAAAAGTCTACGTACAGCCTACAGCTACAGATTATATGGCTAGCAAAAGTAGTACTACTATAATAACAAGGCGCAAATCGAATGCAGCCTTTAATTTGCAATAATTTAATTAAGTTTATCAGCAATTGTTTTAAATTGAATTTTGATTGATAAAAATTGTGAATGGTTTTATAATATTAAATGTTTATGTATTAAAATTTACAATACAAATTATTAATTATTTTGGTATAGCGCATAACTGGCCCCATTGCAAGTAGCTTCTCAAGTTGCTGACCATTTTTTTATTATTTCACTGAGTGATTAGTATCTAATGACGTCAGATTTAGAAAAATTAGTAATCCTTTCAGTACTAATAATTTAACCTGTGCATAGGCATGTCAAAAATTAAAACAAAAGAGAGACATTACCGTCAATTAGTTGTCAACCTAAAATAAAATTAGTATATTTGAAAACATTGATGTTTTCAGATTTTCCACTTTTTATTTAATGTAAAATTTTATTTTAAAGCTCTCTATATATACCGTAGTCATATACTGACATGTTTCTAGCCATAAATGAAGCTATCGGGATGTATTTGTAATTGGTTACCTAGTATTAAAGCTGAAGAATTAATTCAACAAAGACTGCAATGAAAATGAAGCAAAGCATTCTGTGCACTGCTCTAAAGAGTTTTTCAATGTGCAGTGCAGACTATGCCTGATATACATACACAGTGCTTCAGCAATTAAGACACTAGAAACCATGTCTGAAAGCTCCAATTATGATGAAACGATGAGAAACTACCTTCTATTGGAGCCTAGTTCTCTCAAGAATATTTGTCGCACTTGCTTAGTTTATGGGGACCTGTTTTTGATGGCAGAAGTAAATTGGGAAGGAATTAATTTAAGTGATATGCTATCCCAGTTCCCTTTACAGGTAACTAGTGTCACATAACTTTAGTTAACTTAAAAAAATGTGCATCGACTATTGGTCAATCCTTGTATTCAGATAATTTGTTATCTCTGTATCCTCTGTTAGAGGACAAATATTAGAAGTTGGTCTTAATTATACGTGACAAGTTTATTATGCAATATAAAGAAAGGCCACCTGAACAATCGAAATTTAAGAATACAGAGAATAAATTGATTAATTATTTTAAACAATAGAATGTGTATTTTTCGGAATTAAAGGATTAAAAACTTTTACTGGCTTTATTGAAACTGGGTTTCAGAGCAAATCTACTTGTTAATCCAAAAATTAACAATACAACATAACGGCATACTCGGAGCGTTGTTTTTGTTTGGTAATTATTTTGATTTTTAGTTCATTTTGTTGGCGTCTCAAGTTTGAAAGAAAATTATACTTAGTATGTGTTATGCCAGCTATGAAATCAAAATATAGAAAATAAACAATTGTAGAAAATAATGCTTCCGATGTACCTAAGTAGTTACAGATCTAGGGATGTGCTAATCTGCCACCCCCAGGACCCATTTGGAGTCTATTAGATGGGTTCTGATGAAAGGGAAACTAAGAATCGGATAAATGGTTAAAGAGCGGCTATGGAGAGCTTTTAAATTACTGCGAAGGAGATTTAATTGTCTTTCCGTCGTCATATCTTGTTTTCGGTTTTTTTTTTAATTGGCTATGGACTTTGAAATTTCGAAGTATCTTTAAATTTGGTCAAAGTTATTTTTATTGAAAGGTTGTGGATGTTTTAAATTTGCTGAACGTTATTTTGTTCGAATGTCTTTTACCCAAAACTTATTTGCAAGAATATATCAAAACTTTCGTGTACTTGAAAATCTATCGTCCATATTTTGCAGGTACAAAACACTTAAAGAAGCACTACTCCTTTGTCAGAATGTTTTTTCCTCAAATCGTCCTATTCTAGTTTCGAATATTTCGGGTTCTAATAGACACGCGTAAATTTTATGTACGAAGTCTTGCAATGTCGTTTTGGATTTTTGCAGCACCAGCTATAGCAGCTCAGGCCTATTCCTGTTCCCAATCTTCGGAAAATTAGTTCAAAAGCTGCAAAAAATTGATAATTAAAAGAGGTTTACAATTGTTACAATTTGCTGATGGACAAACAGCCTCGTCAGGTGGTTTTCACACGCTGATTTAACGATGATATATTTAAGATCAAACAGTCGGTTTTCCTGCAGCTTTAATATTTACCCCAAAAAAAACTATTGTACATACTAAAACTTTATTTTAAATTAAACTTGAAACGAAAATGCATAAAATATGTGATGAACTTTGTTTTTGATTTCTCGAAAAAATGTATCTACTATTAAATAATATTACTTTAATTTCAGCTTTCCGAAGACCATAATTTATCTAAGAAAATGTGCCGAACCTGTATTAAAACTAGCTACCGAATTTATCACTTTATTCGAAAATGCCAGAATTCTCAAAAGGTGCTGAATTCCATTCTACTGAGAGACCAATGGCAGAAAAGTCAAAGAATAAAACCAGAAGTTAGTGATACAGGCAAAGAGGACGTTAAAGAAAAAGCACCTGAGGTTTTACCCGATCCGCTTGTGAGTAGTGATAATGATAGCAATTTGGATGAAACCGAATGTAATAGTGTATCATCCAACGATACGGAAGAGAAAGAAGAGGCGACGGAAAGAAGTGCAAATCCCCAAAAAAAGATTCTGAATAGAATCACCTCGATTAAGGAACAAATTAGTAAAATACGGGTCAAAAATAGAGTCAAGTTGAAAAAGATGGCAAAAAGTAAACTTCTTAACTCTCAAGGAATTTCCATAAAACCTAAGAGATATGTATTCAGAAAAGGTGAGTTTTGGTTCGCAGATCAAACTACTGAACACAATTAATATTCATAATAATCAATAGAATATTTCCAGTTGTGAAGTGGAAACATTTCAAGTAAATCCTTTTAGGCCCTCCATATATATGCATTACTTGCGACGCCTCCTACAAGACACATGAGGAGTTGAAACAGCATAAGATTGAAACAAAGCACAAAAAATCGTTGAAGTATAATTGTGAACATTGCGAGAGAAAATACGACACTTTTTGCAAGTTTGAGGAGCATGTCAGAACGCACACTGGTGAAAAACCGAATAAATGTGCAACTTGTGGCAAATGTTTCAATTTTAAGACAGACCTAAAGAGGCACATGGTGATGCATATGGAAGTTAAACCTTACCTATGCCGATTTTGCAATAAAGGTTTGTTCTACCTGTGCGTTTTTGAGCATAAACATTAATACTGTATTCATTTCATAGTTTTATTCATCCACTATCCAAATGTGTATTGTTTCAGGTTTTGCACGAAAACAATACTTAACGGACCACGAACGAAAACACACCGGAGAAAAATTATTGTGTCCTTTTTGCGGGAAAGGGTTCTATTCTTATTCCACTCTAACGTACCACGAAAAAACTCACAAAGGGCCGGCGGACTGTAATCGCAACTCTCTTAGTGGTTTTTATCGATGTCACGTATGCGACAAATCACTACAAACTGAAAATACTTTAAAAGCCCACGTTTTATTGCACGGACCACGGAATTTTAGCTGCCAAATTTGCGGAAAAACTTACATCAGCAACAATAGGCTGCAGGACCACATTAAATTAACTCATCAAGGTATGTTTTATTTTAGTAACCTTTTTGGGCACCAACTTATTTTAAGCAGTGGTTTATTCGAAAAATATGTACTCGATATGAAAACAATTTTAGAAAACAAGTTTTGCTGCCACCTCTGTAACAAGGAGTACAAGCAAAAAAGCGGGCTGGAAGTGCACATAAAATCACATTCTGGTGAAAATAACTATCCATGTGAAATATGCGGGAAACGTTTCGCTTTCAAGGGCTCCCTTTACCAACACAAGAGAATCCATACAGGTGAGTTTGCGTATACGTCCATATTTCGAATTGGTTTTTTCGATCTGATCGTATAATCTTGTAGACAAGTAAAAGGTGTTCAAATAATCATTTTTTTTAAATATCGCTCCAAATAAGCTAAAAAAGCACACCTTTGCGCTCATTTAACCGACTTCGTATCTCTTACGATTTACGAGATTCCAATGCTAGGTGCTTTTTCTTTTCGCCTACCAACATTTTTTTGAATGAAAGGAACAAATAGTAATTCGACGGGGGGCAAAGTCTGGAGAATGCGGAGGATAACTTCGATGGTTCTACTTAGAACGTTCCAATGATAATGTAAAGGTACGTTTCTACCTCGGGAATATCCGGTAGTTTTTTATTGGGATGTTTCGTTTTGTTACACTGTGAAGAAAGAATTTGGCTACATTCGTAAACTTTCAGTATGCATTGAAGCTTCTAAAATTGTTCAGAAGTGTTCCAAATGATGAATAAATAATGTTAGCGGCGGTACGCGATTGTATGTTGCTTTATACGTAAATTACCAAACGGTTGAGATGCTGTCCTTCAATTATTTCTTGAACCGAGGAAAATGCTCGCGCCGCCTTGAAATGTTTTTTCATGATGTGTTAGTGTTTGCTTCTATCCAGTTGAAAAGCGTTTTATTTTTATTTTATTTATTTAATTATTTAATTTATTCAATTTACTTGTTACATAATGATAACAAATTAAATTACGTCAACAAGCCCGTACAGGCATTCAAAAGTATGTATGTTCTAAAAAAAAGATAATAAAAAAAACCAACAAACTCCAAATAACAAGAAAAAAAGAATAAAAATTAATCTACACTAATAACAACTAATCCCGAATAACGCAACAGTAACTTACTTTTACTTACATACACATATATTCTAATTACCGTTTTTGTGTGACAAAACATTCTAAAATACTGGCCTTTCCACCCCAAAAAATGATCCCATTGTTTTAATTGCTGCTTTTTAATGCTGCCGCCAGCAGTTAGCTCTTCAGTGTGGCCACTTTTAGTGTCTTGGACAATAAAATAATCAATTCGTTTGTAATAGACCAAACTGTCGTTCATCGCCCCAACTATTTGTCTGGGATGACTACCAAAGAAAGGCATTTTTGACTTTACAGTTTAAGCTTTGAAGAGCAGAATTTAAAAACTAAATGCAACTACACAAATGAGAACTTAAGTCCCATTTATCGGCAGCATATCACCTGTAAGAAATGGTATATCTTGCAGTTATGGACGTTTGTCAGAATAAAATTTATGTACGACTTACTTAACAATACTTTTACGGAATTAAACAGGCAATACTTACAGAAGTGAACTTTCCTACTAAGCAGAAATTGACTGAATAAATCACGTTTTTGCATCAGACTTCGCTCCAGCTATTGAATTGGATAATGTGGATTGGTTGCAAGCTTTTGGGTGGAAATGTTGACTTATGTGAGGCGAAGATTAGTGGTTCTAATTGCGAACTAGGGGCAACAATAAATAGAATAGTTAGTGACAAACTAGGTGCGGGCGGTGATCAAATACTCTACATTGTTTAATCGTAACAAAATATGTCGCTTCTAGCCCTTCAGCCATTTGGACCTCTATACCTCTATTTGTCTTCGTGCATCATATTTAAGAACACTGAATATTTAGCTCCTTCAAACACGGGATGAACTAGATTGAACTTAATAAAATAATGTTGTAAAGCAATTAGGAACAGGCTAACGAGAAGCTTACGCAAAGTACCTGAACAATAATGCAAACGTAGATGTATTCTCAATTTTAGAAGACACAAAGTACCAGTGCAAGGAGTGCCTGCACATTTGCATAAATCGGCGACATTTAGAGAACCACATGAGGATCCATACCGGTGAAAAACCATTCGCTTGCGTTTATTGCGGAAAGCTATTTGCTCAGAAGGCAAACATGCAGGCACACACCAAAATCCATACAGGCGAGCGGAATCACTCATGCAAATTGTGTGATAAAGCGTTTTACGATACGAGAGGACTAAAGAAACATATGAACATTCACGAACGGAATGGGGAAATTGAGAATAAGTAACAGTGAATGGCATTAGTCTAATTTAAAATATTAGATGAAGTAGCTTCAATTTAGCCAATGAGTTTCGACTTTGTTTGTTTTTTATAAAATTGGAACTAAACTCTCGCACTTCAATGCGTATTTTTTGGTAGGAATTAAATAGGCGTAGTTGGCACTTTAAAATGTATAAAAAGGCGATATATGTTTTTGATGGTTCGGCCCAAAATGTAGATACTAGTAATGAAAGCTGCATTGTAGTTACGTAAAGCGTGTCCATAGCGCGCTATTTACTTGTACGCTATCGTGTTATCCCAAAGGTTTATTAAAATTAAATTTGTTATTATTGCCAAATTGTGAGAAAACTGTAGAACAAACTTTTTTACTTGATACCACATATATTTACTACGCCAGGTATGTTGAACAACACCATTTGTTTGCTAACTTTGCTGGGATTCTTCTTATTTTCTTTTTGGTTTTCCATTGATTTGGTACTCGCTTGGTTTCTAAAATTTTCTAAAAAAGCGCAGCACTGTTTACTATTATTGTTTCTCCTCCATATTTTAGCAGCTCATTGGGTATGCCATCAGGTCCCGGCGCTTTTCTTTTTTTGATTTTCCTGTGGTATTCATGAGTTCTTCACTTGTATTTCCTATGATTTGTTCGTTGTCGCCCTCTTCTTCTTTCTCTCCTTCTTTCCCATCTACTGCATGTTCATTATTCCGTTCATTGTAGAGTTCTTTAATGTAAGCTATCCATTGTTCTGCTGCTTCTTCTCCCTTTAAGCATTTTCCACACTTTGCGTTGCGCTCCTTAAAGAGTATTCCATATCTTTGGTAAACCGTATCCAATATTCTCTTTTCAGGTTTCTTACACGGAGTTTACATGGTTTGTTGTATCTTTGCCTTGCTCATAATTGTTAGGCCTCTTATTACTATGTAATAAATTACTACTAATAAGAAGTTCAATATACATTTGAAAAACTTTAATTTTATTTAATTGTGATTAAAACATAATTTTAAATTGAACTGCCTATTCGTTTGATGCCGTGATTGTGATATTGATAAGTAAAGGTGATATTTCTTATATGAACGGGTCATCCTGTATATAATATTTGTATTGTGATTGATGGGGTAACATTGCATTGCACTTAGAAACATTCCTTAGAAGATAAGTAATAACTAACTCCTTTAGTATAAGTATATGTGTTTGTATATATTTATTTATTGTATGGTTGCTTTTGTATTACATTTAACATATAAAAACGGGCGTTGTTGTTTCACCCAATTATCCCAGCATTACGCTTATCCCAAAATTTTTCTTATATTAAGTGCTTAAGTAGTACGTTTAATTTAATGTTTCAATGATTATTAATTTAATTTAAAGCGTCAGGCATTGAAATGTATGTATTAAGACAAAAAAAGTTTTTCGGCTCTCGTTCTGGGTATATATACAGAACAAAACGGATATTATCTCTATTAAGTAGGTTTTAGAACAAAATTTGGATTAATTTTTGGTCCCAATTAATAATCGAGTAAATTAAATCATAAATGTGTGGCAATGAGGTCAATTAATCACTTATCGTAGTGTTCTGAATTAGCATCATAGATGGTGCGACTGAAATACTTGCAACAGTATTAATTATTATGCACATCGATTTAAATTAAATTAACAGTGGAATCTGGGACATAACCCGACTTTATTAGTACATAACCACGTATTTTTTCGGTTTTCAACTTAATTTTAAAATGTTAAGATTTTCTCGGCAATTACTCTTTACAGCGCCTAAACCTGATATTCTCTGTTGCTGTAACAGCACAAGTTCCAAAAGCACTGGTTATAGTCACACTGTGTTATTGCCGAAAACCAAATTTCCATTACGAGTGGAAGGACAGAAATTAGTTGCAAAAGATAGGAATGTACATAAAGTAATTGAATTATAAGATATTCGCGTATGAATTACCCAGTAATTTGAGTTATTATTGAAGGTGGCAGGTTTTGACTCCCTGTACGATTGGCAGAGAAGTAACTTGAAGGGGCCGGAGTATATAATACATGATGGGCCGCCGTACGCCAATGGCAACCCCCATATGGGGCATGCTATTAACAAGGTCAATCTAAACAAAACAAACTGTTAATAAAAATAGTTTGGGCGGCATTGTATTCTGGACAATTTCAGCCACTCGAAATAATGAACCTTTACAAATTTTAACACCTTGTAATGTTAAGACTCAATTCAATTTTACTAAATTGTAAAGCAACAGCATTAAATACCATTTTTCGATGTAGATGTTATTTTGAAGACAGTTTACTATTACATTATTTTACCTTTTTAACAACAGATACAAACTCTACCTTTCTAAAATTTTGGCACACTTGTATATCCTTAAATAGGATGTCGGAATTAAAACTTAAAAATTCGCATTTTTTAAAACATGTTTTGTGACAAATCATTCTTTTTAGCTTATACTCTTCAGTTGTTAACACTATTAAATTCACTCTTGTGCACCCTTTATCAAATATGTTTCCTAGCAAAGTCGACACATTTTTTACTGTCGCTACGCCGGATAATAACATTATTATTATTATTTTACGTTATTACTAATCTAAAACTTTAATAATCGCGTCAGAAAAACTTTTTTACGATGCTATACTTAGTAAAACTGTATGTGGGTGTCTATTTATGCCTTGGTATTTGTAATATATGGGTACCCGTCGCTGTATTATTTACTTAAATTAACTTATTAAACAAAACATTCTTAAATTAATCTTCTTCGTAAAAATTATTTTGTACATAAATGTGTGTGAATTATTCCTTTAATAAAGTATGAGCATTTCTTAAATTCACTGAAAATATCCCCGATAGCACACAAATATTACAGTAATATTTTTTTTGAAATATTTACTGTAGATTGACGCGACCGATTCTTAAATATTTAAGAAATATTTCTTTTAAATATTTATTTGACATTTAACTCAGATATTTAAAAAATATATTTTTTTAAATATTTATTTGATATTTATATCAGATATTTAAAAAATATATTTTCTAAATATTTATTTGACATTTATATTAGATATTTGTTTCATTAATATTAATTAACAATTTTATTAGATTTTTTTCAATGGCCACCCCTTGGGTATTCCGCCAGGTCGATTTTTTAAATAGTGCAATATTTTTCTCAGCTCGATGATACTTTTTGATCTGATTGAAAATTGAGAAAATATGTTCTAAAGTTTGTTCACACTTATTAAAAATAATATATTAGTAACTTTTTGGTGGTAACACCGTTAATGGTGTTATATATAGGTACAAAAAGTATTATGTACTAAGAAACATTATTATTAATTTATTTGTGTCATTCCTTTTGCTATGAAATATTTACCAATCATATAAATATTTGGTAAATATTTATGTAATATTTTGTGCTATCTGGGATATTGGAAAATATGTAATTATTTTGCAGTAGCGAGACGTGATTAAGGCTATTTCTTCGATATAAAATAAAATTTTGTTTACAACTTACAACCTACTATATAGAAGGATTTATATACTTTGAATCCTATTTTCATGTAATACTCAATTAATTGTAGGTTCTATACTATAATATACTATAAATCAACTGTATTCTTCGTTTCTATTATATGAATTGAAACGAGGTATTTTGTAGATTCTAAAAGATATTATTTTGAGATATAAAATATTGGATAAAAAACAAGTCTACTATGTACCAGGGTGGGATTGTCATGGCTTGCCGATAGAATTGAAAGCTCTGTCTGGTAATAAAGATGCAGATCCAGTAGAAATTCGAAATAAAGGTTAGTCAATATATGATTATCGAGATGTAATAAAGCGATTTATTTAACGCATATTTAAGTAGATTAATGTTATTTATAACAAAACCGGGTTGCAATTGGAAAAATGGCTTGTAAAATGCATACGCGGATTGAAATAAATTTATCGGAAATTCAAGGGCTCGTTTTTTTGGAAAAGCGCTCGCGCAACTTTATTTTTGCTTGCGGCATTCCTGGCAGTAAATTAGGACCATCAACTCCATTTTTGCCATTCATGTCCAAAAAAGAATGTCAAAACAGTTACAAATCGTTAAAAAATCACGTTGGGTCAAATTTGTATAAAATGACGGGACATGAGAGAATAATTTCTACCACCAAAAAGTACTGGTATCTCGGAAAAAGGAGAAAACTATAACTTTGAAAACGTCATTTGAGAGCTTGGGTAATACCGCATCGTTTACCTTTTTTTAATATTTTTATATTTTCCATAGTAAAAGACGGGGAGGCCAATGTAGTTTTCAATACTACTAGTTTGAAAGATCATTTTAATTTCTTTTAAAGTCCATTTTCTGTTAGGAATTTTTCACAAACGAGATACAGCCGTTCTTTACCCTTATACCTTACACCCTGTGTTCTAGCAGACACATGAGAAAATTGGTTTTGTAATAAAAGTAAACTGCTTCTATTTTCATTTGAAGCACATCGAAAATAATGAATTGACATGAACTAATTGGCTTAGTTTCCATGTAATTATCACACAAAAATAGTAATAAAGTTAACTGTGTAAGCAATTCTAGGAACTTTATGCCGCGTGTCTTGATAGCAAATGTCCGCTGGCTAAAGTGATACGGCAGAACAAAACGAAAGAGGTTTTGGCTTAAAATAACTAAAGATATATAATTTAATTGTAATTGACAAACAGTTAATTTTTATATTTTTCCACAGCCGAAACACTGTTCTAATGAAACACAGAAAACCACCGCCAATAGAAAAAAATTGATTACATCTTGAGTTGAGCAGGAAAAAAATATAAGCGAGGAATCGAAAAGAGTAATATTCTTCAACGCAAACTCATCAAATCAAATCAATCAAATTGTTACTTCGTTATGACTATAGTGAATGGCTTATAGGATTAAAGGTTGAAGCAAATATGTAGTTACTCTCGAAAGAAACAGAGCAGAATAAACTATTGTTCTTAATCAAAATCACTTTGTGAACATGAAATGATAGATTTTTTTAAAGTCATCTGCCTATTCCGATATCGTAAAATAGGTTGGGCAATGCAGATTTAACTGTGGCAATCATGTACAAATGACGAGCTGTAAATCCTCTAAAACGTTTCAAATCGGCTAAATATTACGGTTTTGCACCTTTAGAAATCAGTTAGCGTTTACCGTTGGTCAGAAAACACATATTTTCGTTTCGTGAACCATTAATATTGTTTATTATAATTTCTTCATTCTGACGAAAAATTCAAGTCAAAATAATATTATACAGCAATAAATGTTATTAAATGGTAAGTACTAAACTATTAGATCCATAAGTGTAACGTGATTTTAGCCCGAACTTTCGCCGATAAAACGATTGCCCAGCAAAAGGACACATTTAGATCCTGGGGAGTTATAGGCGACTGGGATCATCATTATGAAACTAAACATGTTAGTTACATAGAAAACCAACTTAAACAATTTTTAAAGCTTTATGAGAATGGATACATATTTAGGGATGTGAAACCAATTTATTGGAGCCCATCATCCAGGTAGTGTGGAGTTTTGCGATAATTGAACCGTTTTATTTAAAAATCGTTCTGTAAAAAAAATTTTCCAGATATATATTTTCAATTATGCAAATACAGTCTCAAAACTACATGAAGCTAAGTTACATTGTTCAATATTAATGTTTATGTTGTTTCTAAATGAAGCGTGGCGTAGAAAAAGTATATGTATTATTTTTCGATAGGACTGCATTGGCTGAAGCTGAATTAGAATACAACGAAAAACATAAAAGTCCTAGTGTTTATGCTAGAGTACTAATAAAAGACATTCCTCAGGTTCCACAATTCAATGGAAAAAAGTAAGTTATTAATAAACACACTTAACTTGATGACTATTTTCACAAATTATCTTACACACTTCCTATAAGACACCGAATCAACTTTTTGTATACCATAACTGTTTAATGAGTAGAAATTCTCCAAATACCATTAAATACCATTTGTTAAATTTGTCATCGGACACACAGTAGATATTGTGCCATTCGTTTTCAGTAATTTTGTATTTGTCATAATTCAATAATTTTTTATCCCCTATAGAATTTATGGTATTTTTTGGACTACAACGCCTTGGACTTTACCAAGCAACCAAGCAGTGTGTTATAACAATTCTTTATCGTATTGCATAATTAAGAAGCCCGAAGAAGAAGAAAAAGACTTGTATATAATTGCCGCAGATCTTTTAGAAGCGTTTTGCAGTACAGTTAATTGCAATTATCAGCTGCTGGGAGTTCACTCAGGTATCTGACGCCTTATTCAATACAAATCCTGCTTGTTAAATCAGAATAGATAAAATCATACTTCTATGTCAATATTTTTAGGCGATATGCTGAAAGATGCAACATACTTTCACCCAATTTACAAGGAGCAAGTTTGTAAGTTTTTACACTCATCACATGCCACAAACGCTAAAGGAACAGGGTTGGTGCATGCAGCTCCAGCTCACGGCCCTGATGACTTTCTTGTTGGAATGCTACATAAGATGAAAATAGTAAGTATTGAAATACTGTTTTTCCTTCATCGACTTCTTATGCTTCAAACTTTTTCCAAAGAAAATGATTAAGATCCAAGAAATTCAGTATTATGTAGATGAATCAATCCAATGAGTAGGTACCTGGGTAGAATAATTCAAATAGTATTGATATATTTTATGTATATACTAATATGTTTTATCTAGATAATTTCATATTTTAAAATATTTAGATAGTTCAAGCTCTGTGATGAATTTGTTGCTGTAGGTGGACGTTGTGTCTGATGAAGGACTGTATAAATCAGAGGCAGGAGAGCCCTTTGCTGGCAAATACGTGCTGACCGAGGGAAATGAGACTGTAATTGAATACTTAAGGGATGATCTAATACATAAAAGCGATCTTACTCATAGCTATCCGTACGATTGGCGAACGAAAAAACCTGTAATCATCAAAGCCAGTAAACAGTGGTTTATTGACACTGACCGAATTAAGGACAGAGCAGCGGTAAGTTGGATATCGCTTAGTTTTTATGTATTACAGTCCCTGCGTTCTGAGCTAAACATCTCGCACAGAAATACTTAATTAATTTTGCTAATAATTGCTGGATCGATGAAACATTCTGTGAAATAATATCTGAAACATTTTGTTTGTAGCAAGAATTTGTTTCTATAAATGTACGCGTTTGGTGCCGCACAATACCTTCGCAACCTGATTTTCGTTAAGCATCTGAATTGGATTATCAAAATGCTATAAAAAAATTATATAAATTATATGAGAGTAACTTTTCGGTCGTACTTCATAATATTAGTCTGTTAATTAATAATCAATGCAATTATTTTAAAAAAATTGTTATTATTGAATCCTGCATTAAGCGTTATTAAAAGCATTCTACTCAAACCCGAAAGTATTGTATGCACATTCTGGAAGTAATGAAAAAAGTTGACTGTTAGTTTCAGAACGACAAAACCGACTGCATTCTATTTTACTCGTTTACTTGTTCAATACAAGGTGATTTAAAATTGGCGTGGTTCCTCTGGATGTGTTCTCTGGCGGTGTTTTACGATTACAGAAAAAATAGTAAAAAATATTAATTGTTATTAAAAACTGACAAATTTGCAAAAAACTATATCAGAAAGACGGTAACAATGTTTTTCAAGGTAATCTACCATATTAACATTATGTAAATACCGGTTGCTTCGTAATTATTGTATATTAAAAACTCCGAAAATCATGGAATTATGCAAAAAGTGACAATAAAATAGACAAAGATAAACGTTAATCTCAACAGGATTCGTTGAATGTCGGAACGTACTTTTTCGAAATGTCAATTAATGTCGTCACAACCTCGAATTGATATGTTTTCAAATAAACATACATTTGAGTCTTTAACTCCAAACAAGTTGGTGCATGTGTAATTTCCTTATCGAGCGGCTACTCGGCCTACTCTTCTCGAGCGGCTTCTCGTATTCGCTTAATTAACTCCTGCTCAATTAGTACCGGTGTTCAATAAGCCATTGGTTAATGTGTCCTTGTGCTGTGAGTATCTTACATGCGGAAGTAGGAATGTATCCCGTAGTCGGTATTTATTTGGTGCTTGGGAAAATGTCAGTTATTGCGCTCTGAGTCCCCTGGAAGGCTCTGCTTCAATTATATCCAATACTTGTTCCTCTGTGTCTGGAACCTAAACATCGATTGTAGTCCATTATCTTCCTGGAACCACTCTCCTCGCTCTTTGTTCTTACAGCTTCTGCTATGTTACTGTGAAAGGAGCTTCAAAGTAAGTTACATATTATTGTTATTATTTTTAATCTATCTGTTAATGACAAAAAAATAATTGCCGCTTTGACCTTTCTTCAAAAAATTGTAGAACAGAACTTTTTTAATATAAAAAATTTTCGTAACTTTAAGCAAAAACGGTAATTTTTAGTTTTGAATGCTTAAGTATTCCAATATGCTACCAAATAAACATGAGACAATTTCAAAATAATGCTTAATCTCAAAGTTGAACTTTCAAACGATTTTCAACTGTTAATTTCTTCTAGAAATTGTCGGAAAAAACATTTTCAATATTTTTTTCGTCCTCCAAATGACAAGAACTAGTCGAAAGCGCTTGACCTTAATTATACGCATACACCCTTCATTACAGAAACTTGTTTGATTGAATCTCCTATGCTTTTATTCGCTATTCGACTCCCTACAAAACTTTACCTTCCATCACACTTTGACTTGATTTCTAGACGTTGATATTTAATATGCATATTTTTTACAGCAACTTTTAGACACAGTAAAAATACAACCGCAGATCAGAAGTGAAATGTATAGAAAAGTAATGATAAATCAACTACAAAAGCGACCCTACTGGTGTATTTCACGCCAGAGAAAGTGGGGTGTTCCTATACCGGTATTTTATCATCACCAGACAAAAGAACCTCTTATTAATCAGTAAGTATTTACCAAAACCAACTGTTTAACTGTACTCTATATTAAAGTAGATGTATTGGATTGGTTCGCATAGAGCATATTTGTTGCTCTATGATATCTGTGCTGCTTTTTTTTATCTAAATTATAGCAAATCACCAAGAAAAACGAAATAGCTATAAGTTGACAATAAAATGTAGACTTAAGCGTGAATATTGTATAATTTCAGGAATATTATAGATCATCTTTGTGCGAAATTGCAAGAAAACGGATCAGATTTTTGGTGGCAGTTGCCACAAAATCAACTGTTACCCCCTGAATATTCAGACAAGGCCAAAGATTATATAAAAGGAGAGGTAAAATGCATACATATGGTAATAATAGATGTAATATAGTAAATCATAAATCATAGGATATTTTGGATATATGGTTCGATAGTGGCATATCGTGGTCTTACCTGTTCAACGATTCCCAAGTCGCCGACTTGTACCTGGAAGGTGTCGACCAATTTACCGGATGGTTTCAATCAAGCTTAATAACATCAACAGCCTTAAGAGATCGGTGTCCTTTTAAGGAGATTTTAGTACATGGATTTGCTGTTGATGAAAAGGGAGAAAAAATGTCAAAATCATTAGGAAATGTGGTAGATCCGGTGGACGTTGTTCTTGGTGGGAAAGCCGGCCAGAATGCTTACGGAGTTGATGTTTTACGGTAAAAAAAAAACAATTTCCTAAGGCTTTCAATATTTTATCATCATAAAATCCCAGGTGAAATTAACAAAACTTTTTGAAACTTGTTGGGCTCATTTCAATGCAGGAAATCAAGAGTTCATACGTTCATTACGACAAACACGAAATAAATTCACATTTCGAAACTATAGCCTTGCTAATATTATTTAGTCAATATATTTGTGAGTTGAGTGAGTTGTAAATATTTTCGGTTATTAATTTAGACAGTTGATTTTTGCAGTGCAAAGCTGGCTTATACAAGTATTTTATGAAATATGAAAATTTTCAATGGCAAAACATTTTTGTTCGATTAGTCCGATCCCGTATAATTTATTCCTGAAATATCAGTCGAAGTGTTTTCTCGAAACACACTTTTGTACTCAGATTTAGTTGATCAAAAATTTTATAACAGTAACGGTTTTTTATAGATGGTGGGTAGCTTGCCATGCAAATCAGACGACAATGGCATCAGTCAGTACCAACATTTTGAATCAATCGAAAGATGAAGTGCAAAAAATTCGGAGCATTTTAAGATTTGCGATTAGTGCATTATCCGATTACCAATACGATGAAGAAGATTTCCAACATACTCGTTTAGTTGATCGGTACATATTGCATCTATTGTATCAAATCCATGGAAAGGTAAGTCTACTCACAACGATTGAGCTCATATTTAAAGAACTCCCAAATACTCGTTTTACGCATCTAATGCCGCAACAATTCTCACCATGCATTTGATAATTCTCATTGAAACACCAATCTATTAGTTTTAACATAACTTACATTTTTTCAGTTTCTAGTATTTGTGTTCAATGTTGATACCCAAAAACACTGTCTGTACATCGTAAACACCGTTCTTATGGATAAGCAAACCCGTTGTAAGCAGAAAACATGATGGTCCATCGCGTGAATATTTAACATCCTCCCGAGATTTGTTATTCGTTTAGTCGTTTACGGGTGTTTTTTTGCTTTGTTTGTTGTATAGAATTTCTAACCTTCTGGAACGACTGGGATATCGATAAAAATTTACCTAAAACATGAATACTTTCTATGCCAGATAGTGCAGTTGTTATTGCTTTATCCCTATAACCAGTTTATTGACTTTTTATATTCTCTTACTGGAATGTTAACTTTAACGAATGAATCTTATTCGTGTGTTCGTTATGCCTATCAGAATTTCTAGGTTTTGGATAACCAGGAAATCAAACTTTTTTCAAACAAAATTTTCTCTTAGTTCAGTTTATTTTTAAACGAATTGTATTTTGAAATTTTTCGATATACAGGGTGTCCCACGAATATGATATGCTATCCTATCAAATTACCATAAATTTGAGTTCTAAAGGACACTTTCTATGTATGAAGTTTTATTCCTTTCTTTAACTGTTTTGAGAATATTTGCATACATCTGTTCAAATGACAAAATATTCGGCAGTTGGAGTTTGCAGAATCGTAAAAAAGGTAATTTACTTAGGGAATTTTATTAACGTTATTTTTTAAGAAATTTTATATACCAAAATTGATATATTTTTTAGGAACAATCTGTATAAATGAGGACCTGATACATGCTTGCCCAAGTAAATTAAATCTTTCTACGACCGCAAATTCCATTTGCCGAATATTTTGCCATTTGTCCTTTAAAATAATTAAATGGATATATTTCCAAAACCGTTACCGATAGGTTGTAAAAGTGTCCCTTGGAAAAAATATTTAAAATGTATAAAACAGCCACTTAGAATGACCTGAAATTGATCGGAATTCTAATCCCATATCGGTGTGTAGTTCTCATTGGGATGCCGCGCTGCTCTGTTCGAAGCTTGAGAACAATTAACTCTTGAAACTAGAAAATATTTAATTAAGTAACTCAAAATGCAATCTTAGGCAAAAAGCTCTGCATCGATCGCAATATACCTTACACTATTCTATTTCAGATTAAATCCCACATAGAATCGCACAACTTCCACCAGATCAACTTTTTGTTAATCCCACTGCTGGTAAACCAAATCTCCGCCTTGTATTTCACCTCCATCAAAGATAGACTTTACTGTGAACCCGCCAGTAGCGTCTCGCGGAGGTCGGCTCAATATACTTTATTCCAACTTTATTTCGCCCTATCGGAAATGGTCGGAGGCATATTGCCCCATCTCGTGGAGGAGAGCTACTCATATTTGCCACAAAAAAGCGACAGAACATTTTTTACATCTCCTAGACCACTGCCGAGAAAGTTATGGACAAATACTGAGATTGAAAAAGTTATGGAGGTAATTTTGAACATTAGAAACGCAATTAATCAGAATAGCGGTGAAGAAAGCGCTTTGAAACTTGATATTAAAGTGGAGCTTGCCGCGCCGGAATACCACACATTACAGGTAGGTTTTCTTCCATTAACCTTGACGAGTATATTATAATATATTATTATACCCTTTTTCCTGTGAACTTGAAAATAACTTGCACTGGTCTTGATATCAAAATGTATTATGTTGGTATATTCACATATTAACAATTATTCGGTATAACTCTAATTATACTCATTTATCTACCCTATACTAATATCAATTCCTATTTAATTGTACATTGATTTCTCAGCCTTATTTCGCCTTCAATCAAGACATAATGGACATTCTTCAAGTAGCATCGATAGGCATATGCCAAAACACTTCATCAGACGAAACTATAAAAGTTTCCGCTTCAAAAAGCCACAAATTAAATTGCCCTAGATGTAGGCTATGTCGCTCTAATGCCGAAAATCAACTATGTCCACGATGCCAAATTATTGTTGAAGACTTCGATGTGAATAAAAATATCAACATAAAAAATGTGTGATTTTAAATAATGTACGAAGGTACGATTTTAAATAATATACACAAATGTGTATCAAATATATAGTGTTTTATTTGACAGCCTAATTAACTGACATCTAGGTTTAAACATGATAATGAATTAAGATTCTTAAAATAGTTTCAGATTTACACAAAACTTCCCATTAAATACTACTAATACAAATAATTAGTCATTCAGAAACTATTTCTAACACGGGAAATATTAAATGGGATACAAATAGACGAAAAACAATTGGTTAATTCTACATCAGAAAAATAATTAATCCATCTGAAGCATTAAAATAGGATCCATATCCTCAAAATTTACAAAAAAATAATAACAGTCAACACTCTATCATAAAAACTAACTAATAGTTTAACTTGGGTACTAACCTATTATTTCACAAACTAAACTGAGTTGCTTTAATAACCGGGTTAAAAATGCATATTGTACATATTTCTTGCGTAATTCAACCATCAAAGGTAATTCATTACAACGCCAGCCGCACCTGACCGTCTCATAACGTCTCAAAAAATCGATACTGTTAAGGCATGTTAACAAAGTGCCTAAAAGTAACAAATAGTAATTAATTCAAAGTTGAAGACTTTGAATTAATCAAAAATGTCCATGTATCAAAGAGCAGCAAATATATACATAAAATAAAAAGAAATACAAAGCCAACGTTGAAATGAGTATACTTAAAGAAATATGCATAGGTAAAAATGGATAACATTTTATAAAGAAATCGATGCTGCAGAAGAAAAAATGTCATCATTAACAATGCTACATAAAATTGCCTGTTCCTTCTTTAAATGCCCCCAAAAATCAACTGTCCTAGGACACCGGTCATTGTCCAAAAATGTATGTATTTAAAACGAAAATTAGTAAAAACTAGAGAACTTGAAACTTAGATATCGTAGTTTAATTTCAGCGTCTTTTGTTCTGTTTTGAAAATTGGTGAATTTCAACGAAAAAGTGGTTGCAATTTCTCGATAAATCTATAGACAAAAGTTGTGTTGTAAGGTGGACATAGTCTTGGTAGAGGCAAGCGTTGTATAGAATTACCGTAACAAATATTAATCAGTTATTCGATCATTATTTGATGGGGAGAAAGTATTATTTGATGTGCCCGGCAAATCTAACACGTGAACAGTCATGTGCCTGTTCAGCGAGCTTTTCAATGTAAATGTTTTGCCACATATATTACATACGTGTTCTTTTTGTCCAGTATGAGTGTCTTCGTGTGCAGTTAGACTCCATTTGCTTGCAAACGTCTTTGAGCAATATTCGCATTGGTATAAACTAAAGTGTGTTTGGTTGATATGCCTAGATAAACTGTCTTTGTATCTGAAATATAAATGGAATGAGTCAATAATCCACATCATTAAAGACATGAGATGGTTGATTTCTAAATTGACACTTATTTTAACTGTATGTAGAAGTTATTAACACGTTTCCAAATCATTTTTCACAAAAAATAAAATTTTGATGTAGAACAAAATGTTGAAATGCTGGCTGACGCATAAATTTCTTACTGATTGCACGTTTTATCTCTTTTGTGCTGTTATTGCCACAATTGTCTTAAACTTCTTGCGTTTAGATCTAAGCGATCTTATTTCAGATTCTTCCGTTTAGGTAACAAAAAAAATTGTTGAAAATGTTTGGTTCAATGACTGCTATATGTAGTTAAAAAAAAGCATCAACTTAGAATTCATCCTGTATATGTGAGACAGGAAAGTTTAATCTTTTTCCCTTTGATTCCTCAACAGTTAAAATTAGTTGAAAATATTATTATTAAATAATTAAAAAATATATATTAAAGAAGTATGTTATTTAAGTAAATGTAAGAATGCAGTATACATACTGGAATTGCTTTCCACAGTCTGCACATTTAAATATTGCCTTCTTCTTTCCAAAGTGATATTGTAAATGTTGTGAAATATTAGACACATTTTTTCCACAAACATAACATAAAGTCCCAAATCCGCAACGGTACTTGTGAGCTTTGTGGGAACTAGGCAGCTGAAACGTTTTTCCACACGGATCACACTTTGAAATTTTCAGTTTGTATTTACAAACGTGCTTGTTAAACTCTTTCTTAGTCTCAAAAATTTTATGGCACTTGGCACAGCAAAATCTGCAAGTGTGCTGTTCTAGATCAACACTAGATTTTAATTTTTGTTGGCAATGTCTGCAAGTAACGTAGTCTTTATTCAGACTGTAGTGTTTTCCGTAAGGCATGTCGCTAGAACAAAATAGTATGCGATGCAAAATGCAATTAATACCTTTAAAGTAATAACTTACTTCTCGTGATGGAATGTATGTCTCTTTAGAGCTTCGGGATTCGAATAACTTTTTGCGCAGTATTTACATTTGAAAGGTAAATCATCTGACATGGTGTGACTTAATTTGTGGTAGTCAAAGTTAGCTTGTCTAAAAAATCCTTTTCCACACTCCTCGCATTTGTATGGCGATTCTTTTTTATGAGAAAGTTGATGAAATTTTAAGTGATTTCTTCCCAAGAAAATTCGATTGCAGATGTTGCATCTTAAAATAATTAAAATTACACAATAGCCACCCACGTTTTTAAAGAAACGCTTCATTAGTGCGTTGCAACAATACTTTAAGAAAAGTAATATATTATAAAATTTGCTGATTTCGTTAGTTTGCACAAATGGCTTGAAATAATCTGATTTGTACTAATTATTCAGTTTCATTTTTTCCTTTTAACCGTAGATACAATTCTAAAAGAAAATAAAAGCGTTTCTTTTATTTACCACTCGGGTAAATATTGATTGAGTTGTCTACAATTGAAACGGTTCTTGTAGTTTCAATTCACAAACCGGGTGCCTCTCAATAAAATTGTTCTACAATTTCAAATTTGAACTCCATTAATTGTACATTTAATTGAATTGTATCTCCGTTAACTTTGATATTTGGGAGAAGTGACAAATTGAAATAACGCTTATTTTTTCAACTGTCCTATTTACTATGAAAAATAAATCCGATTGTCCATTATAAAAAAAAATTACTCGCTAATTTTTTTAAGTGCGATTATTATTAAAAACCACTTTACTTTCTTACCGATAATTTCCTTCTTGTCGATGCTGTCTTACATGGATAAAAAACGCTTTTGAATCAAATTCTTCCGAACAAAACGGACAAACATGAGAGACCGGCTGTCGATTAAATAGGCTCACATTATTTTTCGGCCGTGCGAAAAATCTCACTTTTTGGTTAAATTTCGGAGCTGCTTTCAGGTACCGTTGCAGAGAGTTGTGACTCTGACAATGTCGCTTTAGTTCCAGAGCAGAAAACTGCTTTAAGCATATCGGGCAACTAAAAGTTTTTATGATTTGACGAATATTAATAATTAAATGCAAAATGTTGACAGCGATTCTTTTAAGGAGCAAAAAGGGCAATATTTAATTGACTTGTGACTACCATTAATTCTAATTGGTTATTATCTCCTTTTTGAAATTTCCAAATATCAAAAAGTTTGGAAATTATCTAGAAATCTCTGATTTTTTGTTGTATATAGAACTTTTATCTGATTTAATGCATATTGTGTAATGGGAATTCAATTTAAACCATTGAAGAATCGTTCCAAAATATGTACCTGTGTTGAAATGTTTGATTGCCTTCTTCTCTCTTCCTTTTCCTAACACTTTGTGGTTCAATTTCAGGCTGAGGCGAACTCGCTACATCATCATCCGACAATTCTTGAATATCATCAACAGCTATACTAAAGTCAGTTGTGCTTTCGGGTATTAAAACACTTTCATGTCCAGTTTCATTATCTTCCGTACACGATTCTTCAGATTTCACAATTTCCACGGATTCACAATTTTCAGTTAATAAGGATTTCAAAATGGTACTACTCTTCTCGTACTTCTGTTTAAATAGATGAGCGCACACCAATAAATCTAAACAGGCCTGGCAAATATGTTTAGGTAGTCTAGAGTTTTCGTGCTGAAATTGGAACAGTATCACTATTGATTTTGTAAATGGTGTATGAGTAGATAGAGATTAATTGCCCTAATCTTATATATTTTGGGTCGCTTTCAGGACAAGTCACATTATGGCAAATAGTAGTTTTCGATGCAAGGGCGAAAAGCGTCATTTTTCGAATGACGACGGCGTTTGATACCCGAGACGAAGTCGAGGTTGTCAATTTGTCAGTTCGAAAAACGGATTTTGTCCCTCGTACCGAACGGTATTTTTTATTCGGATGAACGACATAACACGAATCATAAGTTATAATAAATACAAATTGCCAAATATAAATGACGTCAACTTCATATTTTAAATTTGATGTCAATGCCACTTTTGAAATTGTCACGTTTTGACGTTTGTAATTTTTCAAAAGTGTACATTTGTAAGCATCTACAAGTAAAATAATGAGTGTTGAAAATTCAAGTGCTGTTTTCACCGTATGATGTTTGGAATAAGTTGCATATTTTGCATGACATTTGCACTATTTAAAAAGACCGAGGTCTGCGTGCGGCAACATTGGCGAGCCCAGAAAAATAGACCATTAGAACGACTTTGAGACTGAACTGAACTGATAATCCTACGTAATTAGTAAAAAAAGCATGTCGGTTAGTTTTTAGTGAAAAAAAATATGACAGTTCAATTTGTCACATTTACTTTTGCGCGCATGTGTGTAAAGTTCGTGCATAAAAGAAAAACTAATGAACAGTAAAGAAAAGTGCTTCTTTATGATCATCGATACTGATCGAAAAATTGCAGTTTTTGATTCATTCGAATAAAGCAAATATTAAGCTATTACGTCACTAATTCATACCTCTTCAACATGTTCTCCTGTTAATTTTTCGAAAGCTACAACAACATCGATTGTACTTTGATCATCAAGAGTGATAATTGAAAAGAAATTCCACATTTGGGGCGAATTCTCCAGACACAATCGGCATAGGTTACTAGTTATATTGATGGATAAAGATGTGTCATCAGTGGGAAGTTCCAAGTTTTCCACTGGGTGGTCTTCGTTGAGCAACGTCGAGTTGGATTCATTAGCAAGTGTCTTGAGTTCATACACAACATTGTTTTTAGATTGGTCATCCATACTAGATACTCCAATGTCCTTAAATGTCAAATAAACTATTAGGCACTTTGGGAGTTCGTATTTCTAATAAGATTGCCTCAATAAAATGACCATTTACACATAGCTTAAATATACTAATCCAGAAACACCCACGAAGGTTCATCAAATTTAAACTGGATTTATTTTTTTAATGCCAGACGCAGACCTGACCCAAGTTGGGTTTCAACTAACCTGGGTGGACTTTTGTTGAATTCCGTTAGGTACCCTAAGTATAAAATACACTATGAACGAAAAAGCATGCATCTGCAAGTTTTTGGCCAAGGAGTAAATCCATTGACATTTATAAGATTTGCGACACAATGAGTCGGAGAAAAGAAATAGTAATTCTAGAGCAGAAAATTATGGAGAACATTAGTATGTTTTTATAAATATTGTAAAACAAAGCGCGGCAATTAAAAAAATAAATCAGTCCCGTTGAAATTGGATATACCGTCGTATAGTCGATGGGTTATTTTGAATAAAATTTAGTGTAAATTGCACTGACCATGTGATATTCTGTGACCGCTGGTTTGGCCAATAATTCAGATCCTACATTCTGAGGTGCCAAATCTATAATCGGAGGATCTTCCGAATTTGCGGGCTCTCCTAAAAAAAACACGTCTTTAAAGATAATTGGCATATTAGGAACAAAAATATAGTCATAAATAAGTTATTCAATTCGAAAACATATAAGTTGCAATCTGAATGTATAACACAGGTTCAAGCTAATTGTCTTGAAAGAACCATAAGGTTTATTGCGCCCTTTTACTCTCTTTTATAAAACTAAAATGCAATACATCACCACATTATCTATAATAATTTTCATATCGGTTGAGGTTGCCACACATTATCTGGGGAAGGAAATGAAGACAAAAACCATGTTTTTCTTTAATAACTAGTTTTTATGCACAATATATATCTAAATTTGTACGAATCCAATCGTGCATGGTTATTAATGTTTTGCACAAAATAAACTAAAAACGTTTACAGTGTAACACCCTAGGCAAGAAATAGGGGATAGACAACTATGCTGCACAAGGTTTTTTGTTCATGAAAAGTATATATTAGGGAAGTTTCTTCTTTCATTGGCTGCATTCGAAATAAAAACGTAATACATAGTACATATATAATTTTATTTTATTTTATATGTAATAATTTACAGAAATAAACAATATGTTTAAATAATTACTACTTTTGCCAAGAAACAATATTGGAATTGTATTGCTGTTAATTTTTAACCGGTTTCTTACTCCAATGTAAAGAGCGTCTATATCAAAATGAGCACGGCAGATTCGATACGTTTCTTACTCTACCTCTATCCATTTGCTTAAAGTCCGAATGACCAATATTTTTAATCCAGACATTCATAAGCTGAAAGTGATCGAATACTAATTACTTTAAATACTTACATACCTACTAAATATAATGGCACATGATAATGAAACATAAACCTATTTTTCAATCTTTGTCGGGGGTTGCTCAGTTTGCTTTATCTATCCTAGAAATAAGGTGTTACCCAACCGCTTTAATTTCACCTTTTTTCATTATACAGTTTCATTATTTCATATATGTACTGATCTGTCCCAAGCTTCTTAACAGTAACACTTTTTGTCTCGTAAAGTGAATTGGTATTTGACAGAGAAAAATAAGAAAAATAAAATGTCTGTACTTTGAAATTTTTAAGAAAATGTTACGAATCAACCTCAATATGGCTTGTATTGAAATGAACTCATTTAATGACGTCAGTGCCAAAAGGCTTGGGACAGACTACATTTATTGCTTATAAAAATATCAATATCCCCAGTGAGCAACTTATTAAGAGGTTATTGGCTAAATCATAGATTTTAAGGAAAAAAGTTATTATAAAAGTGACTAAGGGCTAAGCTGCAACAGTAAATTTTAGAAAAAATCTTTTGCGGTTTTAGTAAAAATAAGGTAGGTCGATTCAGTCGATTCCTGAGGTAATTTTACGTAAATTTGGATTAACGTTTGATGCTCTAGCTAATCAAATAAAGTGATGGAATATTAGTACAAAAAGGTATCTATCTATTCATCTCCGGATTGGCCAAGGAAAACACTATTTAGAAACTCTAATATGTACGCATTTGCGATTGTATCTTTGGAAATCACAGAGCGGGTTTTTTAAAATCGAACAACTTTTACTTCCTTCAATTTATCTGCAATGTTTTAAATGCAATGATATATATTTATTATAGTTATATATGTTTAACTGGATAGAAAAGTCTAAAAAATGGAACAAAAAGGCAACATCCTCAAATCGATATTATGTTTCTGCATTTTCTTTAAATCACTTGATTAATAACTTATTTTCTTTAAAATACATATGTAGAATTAATAGATTGTCAGAAACAGTCTACGATCTCTTAGCTGCTCAGTAAGTACTTTCATTTAAAACAGTACATATATTTTTTACATAATCAGTAAACTATTAAAATATCTAGCGTTAGACAGGGTGATTCGTTGAAGGTGGCAATACAAGCTGGTGGTAGATGAACTCCGCTTTTTAATTTGATGATTAAACATACCTCCAATTGCCTGCTAAAAGTAAATCCTTGAATGGCATCTACGTTTCGGAACGACTGATTGATTGAAAATTAACACCCGCTGATCAATAAGTGGTTTGGTTGGTAAGTTCGGTTTTAAGCTCAGTTTTAGATAACAAACCTCACACATCTTGCGAGTCCCTTGCAGAACTAGCAAACATAGTTCTTGCATAGATAGGTACATAGATCTTGGTCTTGTAAACCCAAATATAGTCTTAATTCTTTTTGGTAAGAGCAAGACGGGTCTCGCTTATAAAGAGTGAGTATTGCCCCTCTTCAAAAACCAAAGCTATATAACGCGTATGGTACAAAATTTACTTACCGCCGCATCACTTGGAAAAATGTGCATTGGCCATTGTTACTGTTTTGACAATTAGGGACACAACAAGCGAAAACCATGTATAATGTCTTTTCAAAAACTAGCACAACAATGAATAAAATAGATAGTTCTGGTCTCGTTTATGCCCGACGAAATTCTCCAATTTGTTGGATGTTTAACTTAAAACTTCGGTTGCACAATACCAGGTATTTATACGCGGGGATAAGATTGTATCGAGCTATTTGCTGCTACGTCTTGAATCAGGTGATTAAAAATCCAAACACCCTTATATTTTGTGGTAGTTTACTGACCTTAGGTCTGGTTATGTATTATACCTATGGTGTTACATACCTGACATAAAATGTTTGCTGCAAATGCGTTGAAAGTGTAATTTCGATTATGTTAGATCGCTTCGATTTAATGCAGCAATTGATTGATATTACGGCAAATTCAATATAATTTGTCCACACTACAAACTGGAGATTGGGGACAGCCAATTAAGATTATATTGATTGCCACGACAATCACAATTGAGGACCAGACAAGCCACGGGCATTTTATATGAAAACCCAAAACGCTTTACCTTTCAGTGTGAAATATCTTGCCTTTATGCAGTAAAAACTCAGAATGTTGAAGAACAATAACCAACAGTTTAGAGCACAATAAATTGTATAGGTTAACAGATTGCGACCGCAAACTGACCTTTACACCCTGAATTATACCCTTTGTTGTGAATCTACCTCTTGTTAATTGTCGGCAACCCATTACTTTAATTGGTATTAAGAGATGTTTAATATTCAGTTTCAAATATTTGTAGTGGCAAGACTTGTTTCTGATTTGTAAACAAATATTAAATTAAACATTAACAAATAATGAAATAAACCCCTAAACTCAATTAAAGGACTTTGATTTAGCCATTGGTGTCTGAATTTATTGATAATTAAAATTCCATAAGCATTTACAAACTTTTGTTGCAGTAAATAAATAGGATAAACGCCAAGTAGCATTAATTTGTGAAAACCACGAACCCTTGCGCAAGAAGCAAAATCATAATGTATGTAATTTTAAACACTAAAATACCTTGAATTTTCTTGAGGGTTTCAGATCCCTTAGCAGATGGCATATACTGTCGAAAGAAGCAATTTTCTTTGGAAGATGCACCTTTGAAACCTTCGAAATAAATGTAGTATGTAGGATGAATAATTTATGCAGCAGTAATCTTTAAAATAAGGCATAGGCTAGTCTCATTTAAACATACCAGGTAGGTATTTTGTTGGTAGAGAATTTAATAATAGTCTCCCGTCTGGCTTGAAACACACATCGTGAAAATGTCTCGAGCACATAAATCCAGAACAAGTTTTCAAATTTTTCAATAAATGTTCACATCCAGCCCGCCTGATCCAAATGTTTTTCAACTTTTCATTTCTAGGAAGTGAAAACCTGAAAATGTTGAGCTTTTATTTTGTTATAATTTGAATTCGAAAAATGTATGAGACCATGCATCATCTTCGTGTCATTCAGAAACTAGTATGTAAATAATTCTAGTAATGAGGAAGCTTACCGTCTAGAAGATATATCATAGCACTGATGTACACAGCACGGTCTTACACCCATGTTATAATAAATTTTTAGTTGCAGAAAGCAAGAAACAACGCCTTTATGCCGGCAAGGACGCCTTGTAACCTTAAAATCACCACGATACTGTTAGGAAGTTGGGGCCTAGCTAATCTTAGGGGGTGTTGATACCAAACACAAAATCTTCGATCGACCTTGAATATGTGAGTGAGCCCTCTGATTTGTATATAAGGATAAGATTGTGTAGAGCTATTTGGTACTAGGTCTTTAAACAGGTTTAACGGCCTCACGTCTGGTTATTTATTATACCTGTGTTACACACCCAAGCTAAAATGTTTGCTGCAAACGCGATGATAGTGTAATTTCGATGTTGTTAGATCGCTTCGATTTCGGCGAATTCGATATAATTTTTCCACACTACAAACCGATGATTGCAGACAGCAAACTAAGGTGATGCTAATCGCGCGACTTCTACAATTGATTACCAGTCAAGTATCGGGCATTTTATATGAAAACCCGAAACACTAGCTTTCAGTGCGAAATATATTGCCTTTATGCGTTAAAAAATCAGAATGTTGAAGAACAATAACAAACATTTAAGAGCACAATAGATTGTATAGGTTAACAGATTGCGACCACAAACTGACAGTTAATTGGAGCTCGTTCAGAATTATACCCTTTGTTGGTTGGGGCTATACCCTTTGTTAATTGTCGGCGACCCATTACTTTAATTGGGATTAAGAGATGTTTAATATTCAGTTTGAAATATTTGTACAGACAAGACTTATTTCTGATTTGTAAACAAATATCAAATTGAACATTAACAAATGATGGAACAAACCCCTACTCAATGAAAGTACTTTGATTTAGCTATTGGTGTTTGAATTTGTTGATAATAAAAAGTCCATGAACATTTACAAACTATTGTTGCAGTAAATAAATAGGATAAACTTCAAGTACCATTCATTTGTGAAAACCGCAAACCTTTACTAAAGAAGAAAAATCATAATGTGTACAATTTTAAACTCTAAAATACCTTGAATTTTCTCGGGGGTTACAAATCCCTTAGCAGATGGCATATACTCTCGATAGAAGCTATTTTCTTTGGAAGATGCACTTTTGAAACCTTCGAAATAAATGTAGTATGTAGGGTGAATAATTTATGCAGCAGTAATATTTAAAATAAGACATAGGCTAGTCTCATTTAAACATACCAGGTAGGTATTTTGTTGGTAGAGAATTTAATAATAGGCTCCCGTCTGGCTTGAAACACACATCGTGAAAATGTCTCGAGCACATAAATCCAGAACGAGTTTTCAAATTTTTCAATAAAGGTTCACATCCAGCCCGCCTGATCCAAATGTTTTTCAACTTCTCATTTCTAGGAAGTCGACACCTGAAACTACTGTGCTTTTATTTTGTTACGATTTAAATACGAAAAACGTATGAGACCATGCACCATCTTGGTGTCATTCAGAGGCTACTATGTAAATAATTCTAGTAACTCGGCAGCTTACCGTCTAGAAGATCTATCATTGCACTGAGGTACACAGCACGATCTTAAACCCATGTTTTAATAAAATTATTGGTTGCTTTTTCAAGAATGCTTTTATGCTGGCAGTCGCCTTGTAACTTTAAAATCACCACGTTACTGTTAGGAAGTGGGACACGGGCTTTCATGTAGGAATTGATTTCGGCGAATTCTAGATAATATAATATATAATTTTTCCACACTACAAACAGGTGACTGCAGACAGCAAACTTAGGTTATGTTGAGCGCAACGACTCCACAATTTAAGACCAGACAAGTCAGGCGCATTTTATATGAAAACCCGAAACATTTTACCTTTCAGTGTGAAATATCTTGCCCTTATGCAGTAAAAACACAGAATGTTGAAGAACAATAACCAACGGTTTAGAGCACAATAAATTGTATAGGTTAACAGATTGCGATCGCAAAACGACCGTAAATTGGGGCTCCTTGAGCAATTACCCTTAAAACCATGGCAGGGTACTTATTCAATCTGGATTATTCGACGCAGGTGCTCATGGACAGGGTTATTCATTGAACTTTGGCCACACCGTTTTTAAACCTAATTGAAATTTAAACAAAAATGTTAAATACCAAAGTTGTAGATAGGTATTAAGATTAGTTGATTCTTTAGGACAAGGATTTTATTTTAGAGAACGAACCAGACACGTCACAGTCATGATATAAAATGACTATTATTTTAAACAATAAATCACCTTGAATTTTCCGGGTGGTTACAAATCCCTGAGCAGATGGCATATACTCTCGATAGAAGCTATTTTCTTTGGAAGATGCACCTTTGAAACCTTCGAAATAAATGTAGCATGTAGCATGAATAATTTATGCAGCAGTAACCTTTAAAACAAGATATAGGCTAGTCGTATTTAAACATACCAGGCAGGTATTTTGTTGGTACACAATTTCTTAATAGCATTCCGTTTTGCTTGAAACACACATCGTGAAAATGTCTAGTACAAACAAATATATTAAAAGGTTCGCATTTTGCCAATAAATCTTCACGTCCAACCCGCCTCATCCAAATACTTCTCAACTTCTCATTTCTAGGAAGTCCACACCTGAAATTACTGTGCTTTTATTCTGTTATGATTTGAATACGAAAAACGTATGAGACCATGCACCATCTTGGTGTCATTCCGAAGCTACTATGTAAATAATTCTAGTAACGCGGAAGCTTACCGTCTAGAAGATCTATCATTGCACTGAGGTACACAGCACGGTCTTAAACTCATGTTTTAATAAAATTATTGGTTGCAGAAAGCAAGGCTTTTATGCTGGCAAAGTCTCCTTGTAACCTTAAAATCACCACGTTACTGTTAGGAAGTGGGACACGGACTTTCATGTAGGAATCGATTTCGGCGAATTCTAGATAGTATAATATATACTTTTTCACACTATAAACCGGTGACTGCAGACAGCAAACTTAGGTTATGTTGAGCGCCACGACTTCCACAATTGAAGACCAGACAAGTCACGCGCATTTTATATGAAAACCCGAAACGCTTTACCTTTCAGTGTGAAATATCTTGCCTTTATGCAGTAAAAACTCAGAATGTTGAAGAACAATAACCAACAGTTTAGAGCACAATAAATTGTATAGGCTGTACAGATTGCGATCGCAAAACAACCGTAAGCTGGGGCTCCTTTAGCAATTACCCTTAAAACCATGGCAGGGTACTTATTCAATCTGGATTATTCGACGCAGGTGCTCATGGACAGGGTTATTCACTGAACTTTGGCCACACCGTTTTTAAATCTAATTTAAATTTAGACAAAAATGTTAAATACGAAGTCACAGTCATGATATAAAATGACTATAATTTTAAACAATAAATCACCTTGAATTTTCCGGGTGGTTACAAATCCCTGAGCAGATGGCATATACTCTCGATGGAAGCTATTTTCTTTGGAAGCTGCACCTTTAAAACCTTTGAAATAAATGTAGTATGTAGGGTGAATAATTTATGCAGTAGTAATCTTAAAAGAAGACATAGACTAGTGGTATTTAAACATACCGGGTAGGTTTTTTGTTGGTACACAATTTCTTAATAGCATTCCGTTCTCCTTGAAACATATATCAGCAAAATGGCTAGTACAGATAAATGTATATGAAGAACGAACTGCCGCTTTTGCCAATAAGCGATCACACCCAATCCGCCTGATCCAAACCATTCTCAAGTTTGGATTATTGGGAAATAGACACCTGAAAGGATTCTGCTTTAATTTTGCTATAATCTGAGCTCCAAAAATTTTGAGACCATATACCATGTGAGTGTTATCTAACAATCAACATTTAAATAATTCTCAGATTTCTGAAGCTTACCGTCTTGAAGATGTATCATTGCACTGCGGCACAGAACAACGTTTAAGTATTGCACTCATTAATTTTTGAAAAAAATATTAGTTGCAAACGACAAAAACGAACACTGTCCTTGTAGCTTTAAAATGGCAAATTAGCAATCAACCAAGGTTCCCAGCTAGCTGCGTGGTCAACTTTTCAAACGCGTATTACCGTATTTTACCGTACCAGAGATTCGCCTCGGCCTAGTGACCAAAAAGGTCCCCATAGTGGTCACACCCTGTATATGCATATAATATTTTGGAGCAAAAAAGCGTCGTTTTAAATGACTAAAAAAAAAATATCCAAAAGGGACAAAGTTCGTCACAGCATCCCTTACGTATTTTACGGAACTGATTATAATAATTTAAAACAATCAGTCAGAGCTTTGTTTTGCTTTGTGTTAAAGCTTATACAAAAATGTTAAAACTTAAAAAAACTGCATTATACCTGATTCCGATTTATTTGAAAATCGTTTAAAGATAAGTAGGGCTTTAGAAGTTTCGGATACATTGTGATTCAAAATTGGCGTCATTCCTCTGGAGGTGTTGTCTGGCGCTGTTATAGGAGTACAGAAAAAATAGTAAAATAAATTAATTGTTATTAAAAACTGAGAAACTTGCAAAAAATTATATCAGAAATACGGCAGCAATGTTTTTCAAGGTAATCTGCCTAATTAACATGCGCAAATACCTGTGGCTTCGTAATTATTTAAAACTACGGTAACCATGGAATTATACAGACTGACAATAAGATAGATAAGGATAAACGGTAAATTCAACAAGATTTGTTGACAAAATGTCAACCTGTTCTCATAACGTCGAATATTGGTGTTTAAAAATAAACCATACAACACCAAACATTTGAATGGTTAGCTCCAAACAAGCTAGTGCCTATGTAATCTCCTTATTATCCACTCTTATCAAGCAGCTTCTCGTATTCAGATAATTAACTCCTGCTCCATTGGTATCTCCTTGTGCTGTGTGTATCGTACAAACGTGGTAGGAATGTAGCCTTTCCTCGGTATTTATTTGGTGCTTGGGAAAGTGTCAGTTATTGTGCTCTGAGTACCCCTGGAAGGCCCTGATTCGGTTATGTCCAATACGTGTTCCTCTGTGCCTGGAATCCGAACATCTATCGTCCACTATCTTCCTAGAACCACTCTCCTCGCCCTTTGTTGGCGTGAGTTCTTTCAGCTTCTGCTATGTTATTGTAGCATTTCCCCTGAACTAATCGCATATCCGTAAATTCGTGAAATGAAATTCAAAGTAACTCACAGTTTGACAAATTAATGTTATGATTGACAAGGGCTATCCACCTGTAACCATCTGTTAATGACAAAAAACATCATTGCCGCTGTGCCTTTTCATCAAAATATTGTAGAAGAGAACTTTTTTTTATATAAAAAATTTTCGTAATTTGAAGCAAAGATCGTAATTTTTCTTTTTGAATGCTTAAGTATTCCAATATGCTACCAATTAAACATGGAATAATTTCAAAATAATGCTTAATAGCAAAGTTGAAATTCGATCTTCAACTGTTAGTATCTAAAAATTTTCGAAAAAAAAATTTTCAACATTTTTCTCGTACTCCCCAAATGAGTCTCTATCACCCCTTAAAAGGAATGACGCCAATTTTGAATCACCCTGTATAATCGGTAGAAAATACGTTTTTGACTTTCGCTTTATCGGTCCCTAGATCGGCAGATATACCCAGAAGTCGGACACCGGTAGTGGCCACAAGCTGGTTATGTGAATAAGATTTGTGAATAGAATTCATTTTAATACTTTTGGCATGGTATTGTTCTGACTGGTACAGTGGGTTAGATTTCCTGGAGGGGGTAGGGAATCAAATTGTTTGAAAAAGTGGAAGATCTACCCCGTTCCGGGTAGCTTTGACGACGCTGGACAAGACGGGACAATGACAAGATGGACAAGGGAATATTTTGTTTGAAGTCAGCGCCACCTAGGGCTGGAGCCACCACAACTTCGAGGGGGCGAAATGACGACGTTTACAGCGTGGTTGAGGATTTCAGAGACGCTGATTTACATTTTTTGCGAAGCGTCTTTGCCGGTATAAGAGAAAGGCGTTGTTACATGCTCCAGTTTTTTTATTTCTGCGAGCAGTAATTTATTA